TGCCCATCGCGTTCCGGCTGACCACGATGAGACTATACTTCCGCGTGTTGTGGACCCTTGCCGGGAGCCGCTTGCACCGCCGCGACGCCCTGTATATCGCCTCCAGGCAGCAGCAGCAGCAGCAGCAGCAGCAGCAGCAGGCGCACGAGGCAGGGAACCTTGTCCAGGGTTAGGCGGAGGAGGCCACTGAGTGGGGCCATGTTTTGTTTGAAAGGTTTTCGCGGGCTGTCGCGGGCATACTAGGCCACGGATTCGGACGACTCCTCCCCACGATCCCCGTCCGCCTCCCCACCCGACATCCGACGTCGTGATAAACGCAGACTAGAACAGGAATCATCACGACCAGAGCTCCCGTCCGCATTTCTGCACGAGGTCTCTGCAGTCGGGCCAATCCGCTGAAAACCCTGGGGCCCAGAACAGGGCAACAACATCCGACACACTTTCTCGGGCACGCGCTAACATGGATTGGGGATCCGTGGATCTGCGCCTGGGCGCCAGATTCACGGATTGGAAACGCAACCCCGAAACATGCGCCAAAACCGCCTGATCTAGCGACGGAGCGCGCCAAGCTAGGTATGGAAACGGGACCCGCCGCTAACCCATGCACATTTCAATCCATGTTTGCGTCTCCTCAATTTCTTCACGACGCCCAAATGCGAGGGTCTCCTTCCTCTGGCCAAGAGAGGAAAGAGGGCTGCCGACACGTACAGCGCCACGGACTCCTGTATGGTGGACGGCGGGCTGAAGGCCGACAGCTGCTCCTGGGCGACGGAGGCACCAGTGCGCGCCAACGTCGGCTGACTCCCCCCAAGCTCGCTCCTTTTGTGTCCCCTCCGCCTCCTCCTCCTCCTCCTCCTCCTCCTCCTCCTCCTTCCTCCTCCTCCTCTCCTCCTCCTCTCTCCATCCTCGTCCTCGTTCCTCCTCCTCCTCCTCCTCCTCCTCCTCCTCCTCCTCCTCCTCCTCCTCCTCCTCCTCCCCCTCCTCCTCCTTCTCCTCCGCACCGCGCCGGCGACCAAAACAGGAAACGCTCCAGCAGCTGCGGGGGCGGCGGGCGGCCCGGGCCGCCGCGGCGCCAGCGGCGCCGGCCAAGGGCGCCGCCGCGTTCCCAGCGGCCGCCTCCGCGGCGGCGCCTGCGCAGTCCCGGCAGGGCAGGCCGTCGCAAGCCTCACGGTACTGGAGCCAGCCGCCTGGCCTGGCGCAGGCAGCTGAGGTGTGCGTGCGGAGGCCCCGCGTTGCGCGCAGCGGCCCGTGGCAGCCCGAGCGGGCGAGCGGCTGCGCCCGGGCTGGCGGCCCCAGACTGCTGGCCTCGCCGCCCCGCACGCCAGCGTAGCCGCAGCGCCGCTTCAGTGGCTACCATCCTAGCAACAGGTGGCAAATTCAGACGTGCCGTCCCCGACAGGGCGGATCTACACGTGCCTCGAAAGCGAGCAGCACATCTCGAAGGGAAACGATACGGGGAGCCAGCTCCGGGGGAACAACATCGAGCTTAAATCGGCGATAAGCTCCTGCCCGGTAAATCGGCGATAGGCCCCCGGTGGCCAAACCGCAGGTTCCTGGGCGGGATCGGCTACCAGGCCCCTACTGGCGAAGAATGAGCGTGTGGGGGTCCATGCATCCCCACTGAGCTTATCCCCCCGCATCGCTGCCCCTGTCTGGGGAGAGGGGCAGAGGGGGAGCAAAGGCGGAGCGAGAAGAAAGCGGTCTTGCCCCAAGCGGGGAGGGACACCAGGAGCCCGACAGCCGCGGAGCTGGACCTGCGGATGCGGGCGATGAACGAGCGACTTGCTCGGCGTCCCCCCCTCCTTCCCTGAGATCCGACGCCGCGAAAGAAGAAGCACGCGGAAAATCATCAGCTGGAGGCCCAGACCAGGTGAAAACGCCCGGCGCGAAAACATACGACGCCCAGGCTAACTACGCCAAAAGCGGCGTCATGATACGATTGGCTCAGAACACGCTCGGGGCATTCTGGAGTATCCAGCGGCCCTCGCCTCCGAGGCCCGTGCATGACAATTTTGACCAAGCTCACACGCAATTATTGGCCGTCAGGGGAGCATCGTCTAACCGATCCCCATCCTCACTAGCATGGCCTTGGCCCCACTGGCTGACTGGCCACCCCGAGTGGGAGTGGTATGCTGGTCCTTTCGGATTTCGCGGGACCTTTCCCCACCTTTTGGGGGGGGAGGGGGCTGGTCGGGCTGAGATACTGGTGGCCCCCATGGGGATGGGGATAGGCTGAGCAATACTGAACCGCACCGTTCGGGATCACGAAAGCAGTCCTCTGCGGCGACGCGAGTCGGGGACGCACTGACCAGGGTCAACAACCCCGGGTCGGCCAGGGCCCCGTCGCGAAGCCCAGCAGGCCGCTTAGTAGCTCCTAACCCCAGGCCAGCGGAGGGTGGAAAGGGAATGGGGACTGGTTATGGGGGAGACGAAGAGGTACCCGTACTGCTACTCCACGGACCTCTCCTGGGGTGCGTTCTGACCAGGGTTTCGAGGCGAACCCAGACGAGGCAACGACGAATGGTAGTAATATTGGTACCGATTCCTTCCCAGAGGTTAGACGATGCCTGAGTCATCGTGGATCTACTGACCCGGGTCAATCCAAACCTGTGTCAGTCGGGCCTTTCAGGATCCTGCACGCAAGCCCGGGTCAATGCACCCCTGGCTCTGCAGCATCCTGCAAGATTCAGCACTCTGGCTGACCCCCGTTCCCCGTCCCTCGAGCCCCGAAGTGAGCGCTTCGAATCTCTGCGCGTCCACGTCGGGCTCCTCGGACGTCAAGCCTCTGACTACGGGGACGTGGGCCTCCACGAGCAGCGAGCCTGGGCACACACAGGGGCGGACCGCGGTGCGGCGGAGGGGAGGCGGGGAGAGCGAGAAACGAGAGGGAGAAGGGAGGGATGATCGGCAGCAAGCGGGGGGGGGCAAGCGAGAAGGAGATGGCCTTCTCAGAAGGCGGCGGGACTTCTCAGAAGCCCTCGCATTCTGAGAAGTCTTCTTGTGCAATCGGGGAAGGCACAGAGAACTTCTCAGAAGGCCCGGTCGAGCCTTCTGAGAAGGCCAGCCCCTTCTCACTTCCCCCCTGGGCTCGCCGCCGAGAGAAGGGAGGGATGAGGTAGTCGACTACACGCAAGAGCAAGAGAAATCAGCATCGAATCGGGAATCTGGATCGGGTCCGAACATGCGCGAAGCGCGAAGCACGCCCGCACATAGGCACCGTCTAGGGTGCTGCGGGTGCGGCAACGAAGCGCCAGAGCGTCGGAAGATGTGTCGGAGGAATCGAGTCGGATCGGCCCGCGGCACGATGCACAACAGCACCATGCAAGCATCGGGCCGCATCGGATCGTTGGAACGTCGGAATCGAATCGGATCGGGCTGGAAGAGTAGGTACCGGATCGATCGGATCGAAATGAGCCCTGCAAGAGTGTTCCTGGACAAGAATGACATTTGGTGCGCGGTTTTAGGGGGCAACTGGGTGGCCAAGTCCATGCGCGCGCATGGGCCCGCACCAGAGGTTAATCCAGCGCCGGTTCACTCCCCACAGCCGATGTACGAGGGGAAAAGGCTGAGGAGAAGGCCCTATGCTCTCAGTCCGAGGAACTTCCAAGGGAAGTGCGAGACCTGGACCTCGGGCGTCGTGCTTTATGTGTTCAATGCGCGTCCCCGGGGCCTCTCGACCCCTTGTGCCAGGGCCCAGAAAAAGCCCCTATAGGCCGAGATGAAAGAGAAATGCCCGCATCGAGAAAAACACGACCGACCCACAAGCCTGGAAAGGATTGCAGGTATGTAAAATACGGAACGTTTTAAGACTCCTCTCTGGGCGACGGGCAATTGCAATTATCAAAATATCGATTGTGCTGTACACTGCCAGGGGCTGTGCTGTGCTGCGCCGTGCTGAGTTAAAACGCGCCGTGCCGCGATGAAGTGCATTGTGATCTATGCCGTTGTGGATCAAGCCGTCTTCGGCATCCCAACCTTGACCAAACTGATCTGGATCTTGAGCTCGAGCTGCCTGAGCGCATGGCTTAGCCAGAGCTGGTTGCAATCGAAACGTGCGGCGCGCTCAACCAGCTCGAGCTCAAGGTACGATTCAGTTCCGAAATGGGAAGGACCCAGAACGAGCAAATCCGAACCGAGGCGGCGCACGGCTCGCCCCTGGGAAATTCCCCCAGCCCGTTAGGGCGTAGGTGGTCTAGGAAATTTCCTCTTCCAATCCCCTTCTCCCCCTTCGGAGAGAGGTGTATCACTGTTCCCTATGAATAAACACCCCCTCCCCCACCCGGCCGGCAGCCAGCCCGGAACCATGCGCACACCACGAGGGCACCCCACCCACCATCTGTCAACAAAAACATACAAAACGCACTCTGCCTCCAAATTCGGAGCATGCGCAACCAACCCGATGGGGCCCCCCCCACCATCCCTGCCAAAAAACATGTATTGTTTTTCGACAGGGACGGCGTGGGTGTCAGCATTTTGCCTGCTGCGCGCAGGGCTGCCATCCCTGACAAACACACAATACAAAATGCACCTCGCGTCTAAATGTGGATAGTGCGCGGCCACCCCGCGATCATTGCCAAGTGGTTTTTGTCAGGGACGGCGGTGGTGGCGTATGGCCTGCTGTGCGCAGGCCCACCGGACACAACGATAGGCATTGGTGTTCGACATGGATGGTGGGGCCAACATGTTTCCCGATGTGTGCTATCACGTGCGCAGGCGCACCTGACACACTCTGCACGTGCCCCAGACGTGGCGCACCTGGCGCGGCTGAAGGGAGCATCTGGCGCACTAGGCGTGCCTGGCACGCTCGGGCCCCAGGGGTGCCTGGCGCGCGTGGCGCGCCTGGCACGCGTGGCGCACCTCGCCCCAGCGTCGCGCACATGGGCTCGGTTTTGGTTCCAAGTAGCTGTCCATCAAAAGACGACCGCGGAACATGCTGAGGCTCGGGTGTTACTTATGTGTTGGGAGGGCGGGTGGAAGTGAGCTAGACGGCTTGCTATCTGCAGAGTGTCTTAATCACTGCTCCCTATTAATAAAGACCCCCTCCCCCACCTGGTCGGCTGCTAACCCAGAGTCATGCGGGCACCCCCCCACCATCCCTGTAAAAAACATTACCAAATGCATATTGCAGGGCCCACCCTGCCAACACCCTCCACAATCCCTGTCAAAAAACAGGTACGAAGTGCACATTGCAGCAAAATCTGATCAGTGCGCTGGCGCCCTGCGAACACGTTGTATTATTTTTTGGCAAGCACCCTTAGCGAAGCCGCTTTGTGCAGGACCACCATCCGTGACAAAAACAATGCAAAGTGCACGTTGCGACAACGTCTTGGGTATTGTGCTGGCCACCCGCGATCGCTTTGTATTGTCTTTGACCGGGACGGCGGTGGTGCTGGCATGATGATGCTTGCCGTGCGCAGGCCCAGAACAATGCTGACGCCCCCCACATCAGCATCTGGACCATGCGGACGGGGGGGCATCAGGTTTTTGCAAGGTTGGCACACCAACCGCACGTGGAGCCCGCGGCGAGCGTCGCGCACCTGGCGTCCGCTTTGGTTCCCAGCGGCTGCCCATCCAATGGCGACCCCTGGCTACGCCGAAATTCCGATGCCATTTATGTGGTGGGAGGGCGGGTGGGAGTGAGCTAGACGGCTTGCGTGCGGAGAGGGTGTCTTGACCCCTCCCCCCATCCCCTCCCCTGGACCTGGACGCGGCGCCCCGCGACGCGTTGGAGCGCCCAAGATGGCCCATGACGGTTCCAAGAGGGCCTCAGGAGTGCCCAAAATGAACTCCACCACCACAAAGCCAAGCATCCAGAGGGACGCGTGGGCAGGAGAGCGCGCGATTGGCGACTCTTCAAAACAATTGGCAGAGCGTGACAGGAAGACGGAACGCCCCACGACTGTGAAACAGAACAAGAAACTGTGAAGCGTTCGACTGTGAAGATAAACTCCAACATGGCTCAAGATAGCCCAAGATCGCTCAAGATGGCTTCCAAGATGCTCCAAGAGACCCCAACACCGCCCGACGACGGCTCCAAAAAGCCTCCGAGACTCCCAAGAATGCCCCCGAGAAGCCAAAATCATTCAACAATTTAGGAAAATCTATGCCGTTAGCTTTCTCGCCTTGTTGCTTCCGATGGTCCTCTGAGGTCTCGAGATGGCTCCAAGATGGCCCAAGAGGGCGAAAGAGAGGCCCAAGAGAGCCTCGAGACGGCCCCAAGAGCGCCCAAGAGCGCTGCGAGAGCGCCCCAAGAGCGTCCCAAGAGGCGATTGTAGGCGATCTAGAGGGGCAACGCAAATTAAGCACCTCATTGTTTGATCGATGTTTTCCAAGATGGCCACAAGAGGCGCCCAAGAGACCCCAGGAGGCTTCAAGATGGCCCCAAGAAGCCCCCGAGAGGCCACCAAGAGGACCCCAAGCTGTGAATTGCTCGTCGCTCTCGAAGTCGACAAACTCGGTATCGAAATCCGATCTCGCATCACTGCAAAATCGTTCTCGCACTCGTACTCGCCATCGCTCCGCGCGCGAGGGGAGTGATGGTATCCTTCTTGGTCAGTCGAGAGGCCTCTCGAGCTCAAACGGCAATAGTCACGCGCACAACTGTACATACAATCGCGATTGCTGCATGCTATCTTGCAACAGCCGACACTGGCCCGCACAACTTCACATACAATCGCGCCTGCTCCACTGCTCTGCTTGCCGAGGGGGGGGGGGGGGGGGGGGGGATATCTAACAACACGTTATCAGAAACCCTCGAAACATCCATTGTATGGAGTACAAGTCACACTGGTGAAAACGGGGGCGAAAACTTGTTACCCCCCCCCCCCCCCCCCCTCATTCAAACGAAAACCTTTGCAGCAGCTAGCAGATCATTATCGCTGACTCGACCGCCCAACCTGACGCCCGGACATCAGCCCGGCCTCGCTCGAGAGCAACTGCCCCACCATTCGTTGTCGCATAAACCTCTGCTGAGAGAAATAGCTCCATTGAGAGAATTTGGAAAAGAAGAGCAAGAGACTGGAACAGGGATGCAAATCGCAATTTGCCAGGGCACCGTCACTCATGGCGCGGTTTCTGCTGCGCAGTGTGTAGCTCGCGGGTAATCTCCCAGCCTCGGCGAAAACCATTCGCCACATGTTTGCACTGCCCGCAGCCCGTCAGGCTTTCGAGTGCTCGTGTAGTTGACCGGGCCCTGGCAACTGACATCCCACTTTATGGAATTCAGCTTCACCTTCTTCTCTTTCGGGGCCTTGGTCTGTCCACGCTCCTCCTCAGGCTCTGGCCCCGGTTTCTCCGCCCCTGCAGCCTTGAGAACCGCAAAGCACACGAAACCCAGAATCACGATCACCATCATCATGCTGAAGAAACCCTTCACGAACGTGCTGAACGGCATGCTGATCACAATCCTCGGGCGCTCGGCCCACTCGAACTCCACCATGGCCGTCTCGATCTTGCCCTTGCAGGTCTCCACCTGGCTGGCTGCAGCCCCCGTCAGAGATGCCATGGCCGCCACAACTTTGGCGCTCGTCTTCGGTCTGGATGCGGCGAAGCGCTTGGCATCCTCCTGTCGGTCCTTGGCCGTCTTCTTCTTCGCGGCCTGAAACTTCTCGTCGAACTTCAGGCTGATCGTTCCGGTCCTCAGTCGATCAGCCAGTAGTTGTCGCGCTGCCAGCTTGGTAAAACCATCTGCGAACTGGCGCTCAGAGCTGACCTAGTACCAGCCCGTAGCGCTCGCCGGCATACGCCCCCTCAGCACCTGCACCTCGATGCCCGTCCGCTTGTCGTCGAAGGTGTGCACTTGGGGCTTCTGGGCCGCGTCGCA